TTGTAATTTAAAATGTATAATTTGTCTACAAATTAATGGAAAAACAATATACTCAATTAAAAAAAATATATGAATTATTAAATATATAAATAAGAAATATATAAATTATATTAAAAAATATATGAATTATATTTTCTGTTATTTCAAAATCTATATAACTATTTTGCATGTTGTTGTTTTTTAACATAAACTTTTCAAAAAATTCTTTCGTTACTTGCCCAAATTACTACTTTTAATGCATGCTTTATCTTGTTATAGTGTTTTGCTAAGTCTTTTTTTTTTATATTCAGAATGAACACTGATTATTAGAATAACATTTTAAAAAAATATTTAAAGTCAAAGTATAAATTGAATTAAAACATTTCATATTGAGGACACTGGCTGAATTGTAGCAGAATCTAGCATAATAAGAAAAATTCATAACTTTTATTTACAAACGGATGAAATAAACTTATAGAAGTAAGGTAGTTGTAAATTTATTATGTAATTTTCTATTTCACGGCAATTATAAATAAAATAACATGTTACTACCAATAAAGATCAATTTCATATAGTGCTTTCTAAGGCAATCTTAAAGAGAAAACTCCATCGCTCACTTTCATTGACTTTTTACGCTCACTGCATTTTTTATTAATTGCACCGAAATTAGATCAATAAATAGTTAAATTCTGATATTATTTTGCAATTAAGTAGTGGACAATTTTTATTGATCTCCAGCCGTCCAAAAACAATGCCGAACTTTTCATGTTAATGATGTGATGTTTATTCTTGTAAACACAACTGAGAATTTTATTTCAGTCGCTTGTTTTAACTTACTGTTAAGTTAGTTTATTTTATTTCAAATCAAATTAGTTATTGCTTACATATTTTTCCTTTCAGAATAAGGTTAATACCTTCATCTATCATATTTTAAAATGTATGTTTATTTCCCGAAAATTAACTTTGATGAATTTGCGAAAAACAATATTTTCGACTAACTAATGATCTTAACTACATTTAAACTTTAAAGAGCAATTTTAGAAACGATGATTTCTTGAATTATTTTCCTATTTCACATTGAAATAGATGTATTACAAACATGCATATCGTACTTTTTATTCTAATCAATTACACAAAATTACTTATAAAAAATGTTTTCTTTAAATAAAGTACTTAGATAGAAGTCACGGTGGCTCAGTGGTTAAGGCACTGGGCTGTTATTGTAAATAGAGTTGGGGTTCGATCCTCATTGGCGACTTGAAGCCTACCCAACTTTAGATGGGTACCAGGTTTTTTGGGAAGTAAAGGCGGTCAGTGCCTAATGCTGACAGCATTGCCACAATCATGTCGTTGGTCACGAAATTGTGGATCCTTAGCCTTCACGACTCCCCTTGCCTCCAATGGGCTGTTTCAAGAATGCATTTTAGGTAAAACAGTAACTTATCATCGGTAAATATAGCAATTTAAATTTGGAATTTTTCTAAATTGAAATCAAAATATTTATTTCAAATGGTGTGTATAGTTTTCCTTACCTTAAATTATGCACAGAAGTTTTAGATAATAAAATTAAGAGTCCTGATTTTGCAAAAAGAACTTTAAATAAAGTTTATTATTTTCAATATCATAAAAACCGTTGAAATATATTTTTCCATTGATGCTTGGAGTATGTTTAAAAACAAATGAAACCTCAATTTTTTATTAAGGAAAAAAACATGCTATTTTTGGTAAAATATTTATCACAATAATCACAATTTATAACCATTAAAAAATATTGCAATTTCAATAATTACAGCTGATCCTTTATTCATAAAATTAAATATTAATGTTCAGTGATTTTGCAAAGATTCTTTCTTAAGCTAAAAACTCATGATAGCTCAATGCACTGTAAAACATATTTTAATCAAATAAAAATCTCTTCTAAATATGTAATTATTTTCTATTACAGCTATAAAATGTTCTAGATTTTTAAAGCCTTTTTTTTAGTCAAAAAAAAGGCTATTTGTTTTGAGTTTTAAACATACCAGGAGAAATAAATTTGTTTAGGCAACAGTGTTTTCTTCGTTATTAAATGTATGAATACGAGAGATTAAAATTAATCTCTGCCCTTTATATTTTGCACTGCTTAATATATTTTGTAAAAAAAAAGTATTTCCGTCGGAAATGAAAAAGAAATAAGTCATGGGTACCATTTATTTTCAGAAAATTTTACAAACCATTATCTTAATTGCTACAGAGTGTTGCAACATACTTAAGAGATTAATTTTTCAATTGAAATTTTTTGAACTTTTTTCATTACATATCCCTAAAGAATATTCTTGAAACTGGCATCATTAACTAAGTTGAATCGGGCTCATTAATAAAATGTTTTGGAATATTAATCTTGATTTAACGAAGTCTAAAATGCTCCAAAATATGTGAGATTCTCTAAAATATATATGCATATAAAGAATGTCAAAAGTGTTATTTTTAAGTAACATAGTAAAGTTTTAATTTAATTTATTACAGGTACAATAATTTCTGTTCCCTTAAAGAATGTGAATGTCAACCGCGGCACTTATGTCAGCATTCAAAAATTAATCAAGCTGCTCTCAGATTTTTTTCTAGCAATAGTCGCTTTTAGTAAGGGAGAATTAGTATAGTGGTTATAAACGCAGAGGAGAAATCGAGCACTTTATAAGAATAGGAAATTGCATAGCAACGTAGGGATGAAATTGTCATTATCCGTCGAAGAGGGGATTCCAAATTATAAACTGGCTGTCTTAATTTATTTGAACCAGTGTATTCATTTACATGAAATATCCTAAATTTATGTTTTCTAAAAGATATTGTCAAAAATTGCATTCAAATTAACTTAGATTAAGCTGTTATATGTTAGATTATTATGTTGCAGATATTACCAGTTTGGTGCCAATTCTTTAGACTACGATGAAACAGCTTTTTATGGGTTTATTTGGATGCTATTATGCTAGTTTAAAATTTTTCATAAAATATTGTAGAAATTTTTATTCAAATAAGCTCAGATTAAGCTGTTATATGTAAGTTTAATATGTTGCAGACTAACTTGCAGATATTACCAGTTTGGTGCCAAATCTTTAGATTACGATGAAACAGTTATATCGGGGTTTATTTGGATGCGATTATGCTAGTTTACTGTTTTTTATTAAATATTGCAGAAAGTTGCATTCAAATATGCTCAGATTAAGCTGCTGCATGTTAGCTTATTATGTTGCCGACTATCTTGCAGATATTACCAGTTTAGTGCCAAATCTTTAGATTACGATGAAACAGTTATTTTGGGGATTATTTGAATGCGATAATGCTAATTTTATGTTTTCTAATAAATATGGTCGAAAGTTGCATTGAAAACTAAACCCAGATAAATGTATTATATCGAAGTTTTTAGTGTTAATGACTATCTTGCAGTGTTTGCCAGATGGGTACTAAATCCTTCAGATTACGATAAAAACAGCTATTTTGGGATTTATTTAGAAGCGATTTGATAAATATAGATAGAAAATAAAAATGTTAATTTAAATTAAGTTCAATATAATTTATACAAATAAAGCTTTTAAATGATAAGTTTGTCCGTGAAATTTATTTCTTAGGATGGTAAACTTAATAAAATTGCTGCTTTGAGAAAAATAATTAAATTCAGTATTAATCAAGAGAAATTTCAGATCTGTTATCTCAAATATTAATCTATGCCATTAAGTCTATTTTAATATAATTAAAAATGTACTAAAATTTAGCATTTAGCACAAACACTTTAAAAAAAAACAAATTCTATCAAGATTATTACATTTTTGTTAAAGCTGGTAATTTCTTTTAATTTATTTGTTTAAATGATATTTTTACACAACTTTCCATTAGTATAATTACCCTTAGTTCTTTTTGTTTGTCGTAATCTCACCCAATAACCACATCTAAAAAAACTGCGTCAGTATTAATCTAAGTAATTTCATAACAAATGCTTAATTACATAAAACGTTCTTCCTTAGTTTCAAATATTATTATCTACACCAAATGACTACTGCTAATTGGATACTCGCGAAGAAGACGATCACTGATACACAGATATGTGACTTATGACTTCAGCGCCAGTTGATTGCTTATAAACTAGATGGCGCGTTTAAGTCGAGCTACATCACTTCACATAAGTTAGAATGTTAATTAACGTGAAGTTTATCAAATATAACGCCATATCACTCATAGAATTTGCTAAAATTTAGTTATTCCTCTTCTATGTATTTTGCTTAACTTAGACTTGCTTTACTTAGCTTTTTACTTAACTTAGCTTTGCTTAATCGAAATAGAATAGAAAGAACAGTTGATAACTTAAACAAATGCCACTTTCAACAACCAATCAGAATCAAAATACCCACACTACGTCACCTGCAAGCAACCCATTGAGAAATACGGTGATTAACAATTACGATGATGTTTGATTTACATTGTTTGGAAAAGAAAAAGGAATAAAATTTAATGTTAAAATACGTAAAATTAATGAATTTAACCATAAAATATATTGATCGGTAACACTAATCAGCACTGTTAAAAGCTAAGTTAAAACTTTTAATTTCTTTAAATAAACAATTAAAAGATATCTATCATAAAAAGAAAATATTTAATATGTTTCTAAAGAAATAGCTTACCTTGTAAGCTCTAGAAAACAAACAGAAGCTCACCTTGTGACAGGTAGAACAAAGCGAAAACTGAACTAAATCAATTCTAACTAGAATTCTATAAAGGATTTTTAAAAAAATGCAAACGATATGATAATCAATATAAAACTGCTAAATAATAATTATGCTTCAAATTTGCAAACGATAGTTTTCTGATACAATACTTTACAACAAAGTTTATAATAATTATTAAGCTATTAAGCTATTGTTACTGTTCTTTAAACAAAAAACTTTTATTGTAATATGACTTAAATAACTGTTCAACAAATGTGTTCTTAAATTTAGATAACAATTAAATGCGAAAATTGAAACAAATATAGAAGAAAAAGAACCAAATACCTTTATTTCAGATTTGTTTTCCGATATATGAGAGCTAAATGTTCCTCGCTCTTAACATATCATGAAAACTTCTTTAAAATGGTGCTTATTTAAAATAAAACGCTGCTGAATCTCACATATTTTCCCTAAACAAACAACATTGTTTCTATAAAAATGTAAGAAGAAATTGATATGTTTTTACGTTAAAAACAACAACAACCAAAATTTGTAAGTTGAAAATGACAGCTTGTTTTTGTTTTTGCGACACAAGCAATCATTACCCACCTTATCTATCAAACATGATCAGACACGCAAACATAAAATTACTTGATCAATAAAAAAACCGAAGCATAAAACAAAGTGACAGCAATAAATGACTTTTAATGCAAATCAATTATTTCAATCATATGAATTAAAGCGATATGCGAAAATGGATCTTTTTATAGTTTTAAAATGTCGTGACGACTTAATCTTTCTTCATGGTGCGTGAAAACATTTCATTTGTTTTAAAGATCGGTCATAGTCTTAAATTTCCACACTCGTGTTTGTAATAAAGTTTTATTTTTATAGATTTATACCCTTATTCTCAATCTATTGGTGCATTGTTCTTTTCATTTATAGCATGATAGAACGCATAATTTTTAACAATAAAGATAATTATTATGGATTACTTCAATTATTAATTTTACTAAAATAATTGTAAATGATAGTTTTTATCTTAATGAGCTTGCCTTTTCTTTGAATCAAATAAAATTTATTTGAGAAAAGGTACAAACATAGTCATTACATATTTCCCAGCTTTTAAAATATCTTTAATTTCATAAAAAAATTATTTAAGCATTCCTAATAGAGCTTTAATTAACTTAAGTCAATTATTTAATTTTTATTACACTTAATATAAAACTAATATAAATATTTTTTTCTCTTCTTAGCAATCCTTGCTAACGGCTAATTTTTTAATTCAATAAAAATGTAAAACTCCTTAATTCACTGTCGCGACTAAATCGAAAACAAAATCTATTTGTAACTTTTTATTTTTTATTTCTCTTACCACAAAAATGTTTCAGTTTACAGGATTATACTAATTCTCATGATCTTTTTTGGTGTTTAGCCATAGCCAAATTATTTTAAATTTAATATTGATTACTGGGGCTGGCTTTTTTGTATGGCTATTTTATCTTTTAAAAAATCGCCAACCATGCATCTTTTACCAATTTTGATTAGGCGGGTCATAAAGGAATTATCTTCCTTTGCCTGTCGTTGCTGATATTATTATAAAAAAAATTATTATTTCACTTAAAATGTCTTTGGCATAAAATATTTTTTAATTTTGTATCTCTTGCTGTACTACTTTTACTGAATAAAAATTTTATTATGATCTTGAACCTGATTTCATCCTAATCTTAAAATATACCATACAACTACAACCGCAGCTAATTCTGCCATTATAAAACTAAAAAATATCTTAAATTGTGAAAAGATATAACGGTTTACTATATATTTTGTCCATGTCAATAAGTACATATAGTATTACTAATATACTGCGTATACCTATCTATTCCATTTATATTGTAATATATTATAATCTAATCGCTGTTCCTCTTACATACCTGTCTTTATTTCAAATTACTATTCTAACCGATTATAAAAGTGAAAGTCAATAACAAGGAGTGAAAATATTTTGTAACTTTTGTTCTTTTTAGGTGCCGTTCGATTTTTTTTTTGCTATTAAATTCCTTATCAAATTTCCCAAAGCATACACAGAGTGTAGTGTTGCAAATAACCATTTTCACTGAGAGGACAAAAAACGATATCGAAATCTGTTGTCACTGGTAAGGAAAGTGAGAGGAATACACCAAAACCATTTTAATTGCAGCCTGATGAAGCTTGTGGGTGTTTCTCATAACTGCCTTAGCGACTCGCTCTTTCCTTCTGTAACTAAGCAGACTTTTATGTTTTAAGTTTCGCTTTGGTCAGCAGAGATTAGAAAAGATTTTGTTTTTCCTCGTTTTGACTGCTTATGTCCATTGTGAGGTAAGTCTTTTCTGCCTAACTTGTCTTTTTTGACTCACTCTAATAAGAATTTTTATAATTATTCATAAGGGAGGTCGTACAATGTATATTAAGATAGGATAAAGTCCCAAATTCATTTAATTCAAGAATAAAATGTGTGTTTTGTTTTCCAAAAGACTAATACATTTTTTAAACAGGTTTGTAAATTCATTTTTATGGAGACCAAGGAATATTTTCGAGCTTCAGACATGGATAACTTTCAGAAAATACTTATGCTCACCTTTATATCAGTTTATGAAGTAGAATAAAAATTTAGACTTCAGATTCAGATGAAAATTTTGATCGAATAAAAATTGAAATTATACATTTTTGAATATTTAAGTCAAACATGCTAGGGTAGTAATTGATGATATACTAATTGCCGCTGTATGGTATATCAAGTAAATTGAAGTAATTGTATGTAAAAAATACTTTAATTTTTTTCTAAGTTGAAAATATTGTATTATTAATGTGTGTAAATGTCGTATTTGACAATAAATTTATATTTACTTCACTTGTGTTGTTCTTTACACAACTATTCACATGACATTATTTATGCTTTTAGAAATCATTTTAATTATCTATTTTTGTGTACATAATCCATTATACAGTTTTACATGCACTACTAAATAATCCTATGTATTTTGCAGGAAAACTTGCTGTCAGAAACAGGTGTAAAATTTACAAAGTTGCTGTTTTAAACAATGAAGTCATTATTTCAGTTTACAGATGTAAGTTCACAGCGTGCTGTTACGGACAGTGCGCAACACTGTCAGAAACAGCAGCGTAGGAGTTAACTGAAGTGTGCCGTTCTATTCACAGCACTGTCAGAAACAGTTTACTGTATTTTTCAAAGCATTTTGTGAAATTTTTGTCAGTACGCTGTAATTTTCGAAACGGCAATTCTGTTAAAAATTTTACATAAGTCTGCTATAGTATTGAAAACAAAAGCTTTATTGTAAATTCCCAAACTGCTAGAAGTCGCGGTGGCATTAAATTTTGCTATAAATTACAAATAATTTTTCACAGTGTTGCCATTAAAACTTTAACAGAAAGGAATTCATTAATCATATTTTAACAATTTATGTTGTTACCAAAAATTATTATAAATATTTCAGAGAAAGTGCAATATTAATAACTAATTGCTTGATCAATCGAAATAAAAGCATTTAAACACAATGATAATCAGAACAACCAATAATATAATAACTCACTCGGAGTCCTATAAACAAGTTAAAATGTTTACTCAATATTTCCTAATCTATTCTTCTACGAAAGATTTCTAAATACAAATAATTTACACAATTCCTGTCTCAATTGCTTCTTTACTTTTATAGTTATTTGCAGGAAATAATTAATGAAAATTAATATAAATTCTGTCTCAAAATAAGTTTCTTCGCTTAGTCCTTTAAATAGAGAACAAACATCACCTTAAGATCTTTGTTTACCTTACATATTGTTTTCAGAGTCACATTGTAATTAAATTAAGCTTCATGCAATGTTTCGAATCCTTGTACTATTAATAAGAGCATTTATGCCTTTTATATTCTCGAGTATTTGATCTCAATTAAGGAAAACGTTGCATCAATTTAAATGCATTTCTCAGCCGAGTAAATATATAAGAAGAAAGAAATATTTAGATTAGCTAATTAATACATACAAAATATATTGTTTTCTTCAAATAATTATGTGTAGAAAAGTCTTTAAATGTGTTTAATTGGATTAGAACAATTGTAATTCAAGTTAAATAGGTACAAAGATTGTTTTTAAATGTTTCTATTAATCTATAGTTTTAATGTATTATTAAGTTGCTGACTAGTTATTTAAAATCCTGCTATGCAGAAATTTTTTGTCGAAGAAGGCTTAAATTATGTGAAGGAAAAATTCTGATAAAATCACCAAATTGTATTAAAATGACTTTTCTGGCGAGAGAAAAAAAAAGGAAAAATTATGATTCTGGTAATTAGAACAAAAATATATATGGTATTTAAAGCATTCATTTGGTAATTTCTCCGTTCATAAAAGTTTACTGGAAATTCTAGTTCTTATTACCACATATTTAGTAAGAATTTTCCAAGCAAAAAAGAAAATTTCACTAAATAAATGGTTGTTATGACATGCTCCAAAGTATCATTATCAAATTACCAAATTTTACCACGTTTACCAAATTTTTTTACATATTGTAAAGCCATGTTTTATTGCTAATTTTACCGAACTCGTTACCAAAGAGCTTCATAAAAAATAACCGAGCTTTTTAGTGTTCCCACAGAGCGAGAAATATGGTAAATTTGACATATTCTGGTAAATAGGACCATACTTTTTTTCTCTGTGAAATGTTTCTTTAAAGAAAGCGAGAAAGCAATAAAAAAATGTTTTCGTGAAAAACCAATATTTAAAAAAGAAACAAATCGTATGTATTTTTAAAATCCACTGCCAAGTGTTAAATAATAACTAATAATAACTAGTAATAATAACTTATCTATAATAAATAATAACTTTGATGATTGGCGTGGTCTCCATTACTCAACCTGCGCTATTTAACTTCACAGTGCATTTATGAAATTTGCACAATATGAAATTGTAGAAATAAAATGGAAATGTTTAGCGCTAGTTCACAACATTTTCAAAATTGATTATTAATATTTAAATGAACTTCCAAAACACGGAAGAAGTTTAAGGTCATTCTTATAATTTCCGTATTAAAACAACTCATTAAAATTCGTCTCCAAATCACATATGTAAAAGCCTGAATACATAAGATATGCAAGATCCATAAATCTGAGTTTAACAAACAGCAAAAAAAACAATATATAAAAGTAAATAAATTACAACATCCCATAAGTAAGAACCGAGTTAAACTACTGAAATATCCACAAAAGATAACTTGCTTTAATGTTTAAATTTGTATTAGACTAAAATAAATAAATGAATAAAATAAATATTTATATTTTTAGATCACTATTTCAATCCAATTTTGCAAATCTAATATTATTAGCATTCATGTTTAACTTCAAAGCAGCGTTTCTCAATGTCCAAATAGAAAGAACAATTTACTTTTATTTTCTTATGCAATTTAAAAATAAATGAAAACTTAAAATACTACGTTTTACAAGTAGAGTAAAACGAAGAAAATATTGATATAAGTTCTTCTTGTAGTGATCAAACTAACAACATACATTTTCATTGAGAACAGAGCATCTGCATTGTAAGAAATTCAGGATAAAATCATGGTATGATTCCAAAGTACCCGCACTTTGGATGCATCATCCGTAAATTCCATTGTACCGTGAAATCTATTTTAACCGCAAAATATTATGCTGTATTTTTCACAGTAAAATTTATT